AATGCCGGTAAAATCTGAGAATAAGGTAAGAAAGTTATTACTTTCATCTCTCCTATACTATTAGGGTGTTACGTGTGTAGCAGTAAGTTTGAGGTCGAAAGTTATAACACAAAATTGATTTATGATGTTGAAAATGAACTTTATTTCAATTTGGACATTAATATCCAGTAGAACTGTTCAGTGTTTATTAATAAAAAATGTTCTATTTGATTGACCGAACTGCCTTCTGTAAATTGATGAAAAATGAAGTCCTTTGCGCTACCCATTTGGTTGAGATTACCCAGACGAAGATTTATTTGTCCATTATTGAAAGTAATTATCTATCCTCTGAATTGTCCAGGAAAGTTAGGTGACACGATAATTTCCCATTCCCCTTTAGTCCATCCCACACGATCGAGAGCAACTGTCTATATCTGTGCTCTCGGTGACAGTTAAATCGAGTCACGAGAAGGGAGACTGCGCATGCGCAATAGACATATCTACCCTTACTATCGCTGTTCAGAAAACATCGCGTATACCATAGTGTGATAGGCATTAGAGGCAGCCGTCTTCCTTCTCTGTGTTGTTAGCCGCGTGCACAGATTCGTCGCGCGAAATCTACTTTCCGAGGCCTGCGTGTATTGTGTAAATTTGATTCTAATCTTTCCACAGGCCTTTTACAGATTACTGGCTTGCCCCTTTATTGCTAGAATTTACTATGTTTCTAAGTTTTTTGACGCTTCTGAGGAAAGTCTCCATTAGTGCTGCAGGCAAGCAATTCTATGTTTCGATAATCCTATTTACAACATCGTTTCTCTAATTTTCTACTATGAACGTATTTTACTACTATGGTCGTGACGCGCTAAGTAAGTGGACTTTCTTAAATTTACCTCCCGAATTCACAAAATGCATAGTAAAAAATGCGTAACCTTGTTTTTTCCCTACGGCCTGTTAACGGTTTCCATCTCAACACTTCCTTTCAAGTATTTATGACTAAAAGTAGTCGATATTTACTAGAAGTATAACGAATTTTCTCTTTTAGCAAATTTTGTTGCCACTTTCTGAACTCTTTCGACGAAGTTAACCTGGCCCCCGGCCCTACCTGTATAGATCCCAACACAATCAAATTTGGTCAAATTTCTTCCCAAGCCAGAAGATTGCTGTGAATAAAGGTTAGTCTGTGAAACGAGAGATTAGCAACACCTGCGATATTGCGATAAATGTGATAGTTATTTGGCGTTCGCGACAGTGCGTTGGTTGAAAATTGCTTCTAGCGAAAGAGCGGAAGATTCCTGGGAGTGCAGCTGCTTTGAGGAGAAAATAGACGAACTTTCTTCTTCTTTGGAATATGGCGGAAAAGCTCTCAATGATTCATTTCACAACTTGTCCCTAACGTTTTTAGAGAATTCAAAGTACGTATGACATGTACATTTATGTAGTTCAAGGTACGTATGTTTTATTTTTGTTTCTGACAATGTGAAAACTGTATAGCGTTGCAGCGTCCCTCCATGAAATTCCTTGTAAATTGTTGGTCCTCAGGCTAAGGTTGTGCAGTGCAGCGAGTAGACATTGCGCATAGAAACTGATGTCATAAAGGACGGAGGCTGCTACACTGAATACCGTCACAAACATCGATTTCCTAGCTTTCCGACTGATAATCTAGCACACAAAAACTACATTTACATTTCGTGTAAGAAAACCAATGTATTAAAAAATTACTAACTCGGCGAAAACAAATTTCTGGACAAATTACAATTCATACCTCGCATTAGTCTACCGAATGTTCTCTTAATAGCAAGAGAACGCGTAGACGGCGGCTCTTAGTCTCCATCGTAAGGGCTTTAACGGCAAAGGACACAGACATTTCGCACAAACATAAGGTCAAGGCTCAAATTGGGCAACAAGTCCATAGGAAGAAGGAGGGCCATTCCGAAGTCTAGAGTAGAATAGTGCCGTTCCTCTGCTCTGCGCTGCCGCTTCAACGCCACCGTTTTTACTACTGTCTGCGCGCTCTACTAAGCGACATTCCATCGCCTGCACGCTCCATTTCCTTCTCATTGTGCTCAACATTAATTGTCAGGTTCGACTGCCGGTTTCACTATTTTTGAGAAAATTTTGGAAAATTTTCCCAGGGGCTTCAGGTACACTCACCCCAAAGTTAAAAAAGCGGGTTCAAACTGAAGGCGCCGAATTAGCCAGACCGATTGGGAAATATGAATTTTGGAGAAAATCGGCTGAACAGTTTAGGCACGGACGGACGGAAGACAAACATTTTGTCATCAATCAAAACGCCTAGAGTTTTTGTCTACGTTCCTTTATTTGGCAAAATTGATTTAAATATTCATTAATGTTCGAATTGTGAAATTGTTTAAACAATATTTTATATCATGAATATATAGTACGTAAATAATATAAAATATGATAACAAATATGTTAATTATTTAACAAAAATCTACGGTTCCCGTTCCCCACGTCCAAAGACATGATCGGCTGGATGCGCTCCTGGTATCAAGGACCCACAAAACATAGATTCTAAGTACACAAGTGTTAGAGGAAGTAATGACGAAAATTTACCCCCTTTTTCGTTATCAAGACCCGACAATAAGAGTTCTTGTGTCAGAAATTCTCAGTTTTCCGGTGCAAGATTACAAGACTTTATCTCTTTACATACGTAAGGGGGAGAGAAAAAAATGCATGAAAATATTACGTAGACTTCCTTCGGTTCACTTTGATTTGGTGATAATGATACAGCGAAACCAATATTAAGCCAAATATTGTAAATAAAATGACAGGCTCCCATTAAGCTGTGCACGATCATGGCTTGTTTGCAACCTTTCCGAAGTTACTTTGGCGGATGCCGCAAAAGCTACAGTAATCATTCATGTAACCTAATCCAGCACAACCTTCTTCACCTTCCTGTATCGCTTTTTAATACCAGATGAGTTTCCAAGAGCGAGTGAAGGGACGTTTTCATGAGAGGTCGACCAGTCGTCGTCACCAATCAATTAAATTTGTGAATTTTATAGTTAAATTTATTATTTCATTCTCTTTGGAGTATATTTTATGTGTTTACTAGAAATATGGGATTTGTAAATAAAAACGTTTAATAGAAAGGGGAGGTTTAGAGAGGCCCGGAAATGTTTTGACCTCCATCTTGTTCTAAACAGCGCTCAGGAGAGAGCGTAGAAATGTTCTTCGTCGCATTCACCCAAACTCACCGGCAGCTGTTGTTCCAAGATGTTAAAATGGTACTGCTATTGATTTGTGGGGCACACAGACGGCCAATGTGGGACCACGAAACAAGCTCTGAGAATTAATACATTCTCTTCCTTTTTCGTGATAGTCTGCTTGCACCAAGAAGTCTTTTCCGGGTAAGTTTTGTACCTTTCAGAATCTTAAAAATACTGTATTCCTTAATCATATTGTTATACATTTTCATGTCTCGATTGGTGCATGGGAAGTGGTCATACCGTGAGTGACGCCTACTCGCAGTTACTCAAATACTAGGTAGGGACTAGTTGAATGTGGTGTCGCCGACGCTGTAAACTGTTTTAAAAGTATTTTCATGTGTTAAAAATGTATGTCGTCCATAGCATTGTTCAAATAGGTTTTTATTTAGCATTGGACATACCAATGAATAGTAGTAGCTAATAATCTTTTACTCCGTCTCAAAAATTTCCAACCCTCAATGGCCTTGTAAAGTACTTTCCAAGGAGATTTGAACTGGTAATATTGCAATTACAAAAAATATAAACGCCGAAAAAATACTTGCAGGTGCGAAAGATGCTAAATGGTTAACATTTAGTACAGCTACATTTTTTTTACTTTTTTTGCTTTTGTGCACATAAAAAAACCTTTTGTAAGCTGCTTTCCAGAGTTATTCTCTAATGAGATCATTCTCATTTTTTAAAATTCTGGCGCAAAATCTTCTACAACATTTTATTCTTCCCCGGATTTGCTTAACACTTCCATATTTTATCCTAGAATTTTTGAAGAGATTTAAACTCCACAAAGTCAGTCTAATTGTGTGTACTTCTACATCTGCAAATGATCTATTTACCATTTATTAGGCGAATCTATATAAACATAAAAACGCGACTATTTCGTATGTTTATGTGAAGAAGGTGTTTGTTATGTTTATATAAGAATAAGTTGTTACTCACATTAATTTAAAAAATCGGTATTTACACGCTTAAGAATGTAAATGTGAGAACTCAATCTGCTTCTGCAGCATTACTCAGTTTTGTAGCAGTTGCTGCCCCTTGCTACCCTGAATCACGCCTCAATATATGAACGAACTAGGAACGGTATACTATGTTCGGAATGCAATCAGATAGTTGACTTGAGTTGCTATCTCTTCCGGGCTCTTGGGAATGTTGTAAAATCAGTCTATTACCGATCACCGCCGACTCAATTAAATATTACAATGGTTTTAGGAGCAGCCATATCCAATGTCAACAATATCCACACTCTGGAGGGAGGTTCATGCGAAACAACGTAGGTTGATACCTGTACCTGATGGTTTGCTTATTTTTAAATCATTCTTGGCTGTTCGAAAGGCTTCAACATTCAACTTAAAATGTTGATGAAGTATTTTTAAATCCTTAGCACATCATAATATTCAGTTGTTCAAAAACATTGCGCCCATTTTATCAATTTTAATGTAAACATTTCATTAATTTGGCATTTATTTAACGAAAGGAATGTTTCCTTATCCGCTTAGGACATTTCTCATTATATATTTCAGTTACTCATTTTTGCTCCTGCTTATAGTTTTAAAACTACTGACGACCCCGAGTGACGTCACCCATCACGTGAGAAAAATCGACACTGCTGCGACGATCGCGCTAGCGGACGCCAATTTATGAGTCGTCTGGCCGTATCTTACTTTAAAATTCGCGGGTCCTTGAAGTGAGCCTGCCTCTGACGTTTCTGTTGGCAGCCGTACGTGCGCCACGGCCGCCGCTTTTATGAGGGCGTGGGCCGGCGCGGCGCGGCGCGGCGCGGCCGTGACTCATGGAACCCAACCCACGGAGGGCGCGGTCGCGGGCGCCTGCGTGCAATGCCCACCGTCTACAGTATATTTCCAGCTTTGGTTGTATTCGTACTATCCGCTTCTGACTCACTGTACGGAGCGCGATGTATCATGAAGGAATCTGCTTTCAGTCGTTGCGAATTTCTAAGAAGATACACAGAGAAGCTGATTGGAAATGGTGATTGGGGCAGAGATGAGAATTGACAGGTAATTGTACTTGGCGATCCTATGCATGTGAAGCAGATATGAATGCAGTAAAGATGTTTACTTTTACTTTTTCTTATACTCTACTCCCACTGTAAATAAATAATTGTAATACTGCAGAGAGAAGTGCCGATTTGTTTATAAAACCTTGTGTCTTAGGTCTCTGATATGGAAAAATGGATTTTTCTTCCTCGCAAAAGTATTGCTTTCTCGAATGCGAGCCCTCGCTTGCCGACAGCAAGCGAGCCTATCTAGGGAACTTGTGTGGTGGGGGGGGGGGGGGTAGCCTCAACTATTTAACGCGGCACCAACTGCGCCCGCGCTCTCATTCAGTTTACATCGGAGAGCGTTGTACGCGTACGTACAGGGAGCGTAGGAGTGTGAGCGAGATGTCCGAGTGTAAGGGCCAGACGATCTCGGGTGCTTTCTGCACGCGGTCCGCCAAACGGCGACCGGTTTAAATTTTGCCGTCAGGCCATGTGACGGTAAAAGTCACGGTCCGACAGCTCGCGTCACGCGTGGCTTTTATTTTTCTGCGGTAAAGCAGGGTACTGGAAGGAAAAGGTTGCCGGAGTGTTTAAATTTAGCAATTTATTGTAACTATACTGTAACTTTTCAATATACTATTTTTATTTTTTGTTATTTGAATTTATTCTCATTCACTACGTCACAATATGCTTCATATTCACCGAAAAGGATATTCCCCGTTCAATCATACTGATATTTCCCTCCCTTGAATTTGAACAGGATATTTTAATTGAATAGTTTAATAGCGGTTTTATGTACATATTAACGTATTAACGTTGCTGTGAGATAGTTGGTATTTTAAAGTATATTGTTAAAATAAGTAATACTAGCTAGACCAGGAAGTAAAAATAGCTTCTTATTGAATCTCAATTTTGAACAGCCAGGCCCAAAAAGCATAATAGGCTCGTTGTGATGGGACGTGATGTGATGTGATGTGATGGGACATACTTTCGACGCGCGAATTGAATTTGGTGTAGACTTCGATTGGGATCATCAGTACCCCCTATGGAGAGTAGGTGGGGAGGTATCCAAATGATCTAAATGTTCAAAAATCAGCTTAAAGAAACGTAACAAGAGGTTCACTCACCCTCCGCATTTCCCCTGCATCCGCTCCCTCCTATTCCTCATATTGTGGCGTCTTTGCCGGGGCAATAAATCACAGACGTGAACGGTTTGTAATTTATTGAGTATGTATTTGAAAAAATGCTCCAACACCAGAATACTATGTGCAATAATTACAATAAACAATATTGACCCGTAACTAGAAGGAATATTTCCTGGTTACCACCACCGATGGCCTGATAATTAGATATCTTATTCGGTGTGATGCACCTGTAGCCTACGTGAGCATACAAGCGAGTATGCCGCACCTCCCGTCTCGACGTAGCACGCCGGCTTCAGTTCCCTGCCTCAATAGCCTATGAATTAAAATGCAGCGCCGCACACAACCCATACGACTTCCTACCGACGCGCCCAAGAATGAGAAGGAGTTTAGGTCCGGGGTCCGTTTATATTACCTTCTAGGCTGGCTGACGGAACTCGCTGTTTCCACCGATGCGTTTCCGCAGCTGGCCTGCCTACGGGGTTCCCAAGTTTGTCGCAAGTGGTCTGCAGGGTTCACAAGTGGCCACCCACGACACGGCACCCTTTCCCTTCCGCTCCCTAGGTTTGCCATTGTTCAGCCCAGCGTCTCTTCCGCCAGCGCTGTCCATGAGCATGAAATGCATGAGGCTGATATTTGTCACGTTTGTCCAAGGTGACTGATATGACGCCACAATATGTTCTCCGCTCGTTCCCGAAACGTTCTCGGCATGGCCTCGCAACACATCACATGCTCTCTACTATTCTCCCAACCTAGTACTGCGGGTAAAGCGACGCAGTGTGTACGTGTGTGTGATTGTCAGTTACGAACGCCCGAAAGTGAGGCACCCATGTAAGTGTACTTGTGGCAAAAACAATCATTGTATTTTTACAGCACAAGAGAGCAAAAGAGAGGCCCCTCTGACGTTGGAACTACTACTAACTAATAGGAAAGCCTTATATAGAGGTAAATAGTATAAGCGTAGCAACCCAATCACAAAAATTAAATGTGCATGAGGTGCGCCTCAGTCGCTGTAAAACGTATTTAGTAATGTTCAAAGTGCTCAGTTGAACATAGAAATAAATTACCAAATAGAAATTATTTAGATTAAGTGTTATTACAAGATTCTTATTGCCTAGAATAAAATAAGAATAAATTGAAAATATGATCCCGAAAGTTTTCCTTCACGTTTTTCACATATTTTCGACATGTACCATCCCACGTTCCCTGCATTTACCCCAAATATTTCAACGCGTGCTTCCCTAAGATCCCTAACATGTTAACCCAATGTTCCCTCCACATGTTCCTCCTTATATTCCCTACTTGTTCCCCACATGCTCCTGACATGTAAACCTCATGCTCCCGCATGTGTTAATCTGGAAACTCGAGAATTTGTATTCAGTTTTTATTACTAAATACTTCTATTAACATTACGGCGGCGGATAGATCAGTGACTTTCCTTCTGGATGAGACGGAAAGTTCTCAATAGCTACTGTAACCAGAAGAGCAGGCTCCCACCCCAACAGATAAATAACTGCAGACCCCTAAAGATGTTTTGCAAAAAATTGCAATCTCAAAAATAATTTTTATATAATTGTTATACTTGTAAGTGAAAATAGTTTCACACTGGGCCACAACTTTCAGCGTTTCAGGTTTCAGGTTTCAGGATCCTTTGAAAACCAGAATGCATCGTCCATAAGGGTTTCATTTTATTAATGTCAGCATAAAGAGCTAAATTGCCGCCCCTAACCTATACCCGCACAATATCAAGTATCGTGAGTTGCATGTTATCTCAATATCGCGAATATGACAATATGTGTGTGAGAATGTGGGTGTGAATGAATGTGTGTGTGAGAGACAGAGAGAAAGAGAAAGAGGGAAACAGAGAGAGGGAGAGAGAGAGAGATAGTTAAAATAAATAAATAATATTTTAACAAAGATATTTCATCCTGTAGTTAGTATTTGTTCTATATACTTTATAAGAGACAAAATGTATCTGCAACAAGTGTAGAAGTACTCGAGCTTCTTTGACAACGATTCCCATCGCGATTGCGTTTTGGAGCGAAGATGGAGATGGCACTTTGCTCCAGACGTAAACGTAGCGCACAATGCGCACATTTTATTCAGCTTCTAATTTAATTTTACATGGCCTTACACATTATTACTTTTAGTAGCAAACTGAATGACTTTAAATGTCGCAGCCATGGAAAGTTCAAATAACTTCGTTTCTCATATTTCAATTAACGTGCCTAGTACCCATTGCTGACCCAAGTATGGTAAAAGTAAGACCTTGACCCCCACCAATATTGTTTGTAATTGTACTCAATTTATTCAAAATAATTACCATACGTAGACCTCTTATTCTCTTGTCACGATCAAAGCAGTATTCCTATTATGAATATACACATACATTTTTTCTGTCGGGCTAACAATTAAAATTATTACTTCAAAAATATTTCTGAGGATCTGAACTGAAATTGACCCTTCTTGAAATTCGTTCTGGAATCTCCCCTGTTGCTAATTCATATCCCGACTGTTTGAATTCGAGTCGAATATTGAAATTGCCTTCATTTCAACTGTTCACTATTCATTCATTTCATTGACAACCAACTTTGCACTAATTGGGGTTCAATAGCTTCTCATTATGAAAACACCTTCTAAGATAGTTCCCTTCAATTCAAAAGATCATCAAGATTATGGTTCATAGTGATCTGTAGATTGTAGCACCACCAAAGTCAAACATGTTCAATGAACTTTACATTTATTCAGATATTAATTGTTTTCCTGATTTGGCTTTGACGAAACATTGGAAACCTATTTCGACATATTGAGAAATTAATAAGTGGTTTCCATACTCGACGCTTCAAGAATATTTGTGGACTTAGAATCGCCAAGAGGTTTTTCTTTCTTTCGAGAGCCTTTTTCAATAGATCTCATAACTTCAGATTACAAAGGACAATTAACCAGATACACAATATCAAAACACTTTAAAGAACAAAGTTGGTTTCTCTTTTTGTTGGCAGAGATGTATAGTTTGGCTGCCTTCCAACTCTATACCTCAAGTATAATATGGAAGTACTTCAAGAACAAAGAAAAATCAGATTCATTATTTCTGTATTTCTCAGATCGCAAGGTAAAATCTGTACAAAAGTTAGAAAATAATATTAAAGAATATAATAAAAAGTGTGCTAAAATATAATAATACACAATAAAGTAGTTTTTGTGCCTTCATGTCTCAGAAGATGTTCGACGAGAAAATATTTGATGAGGAATATTATAGTATCTGTACATGGAAATAAGAAATAAATAGGAAAACAGATTTTTTATACTATAAATTGTCTTAAATTTTACGACTAAGGAGGTTATAATGCAAACGATAACTCCCAGCTGCTTCAAACCTCTTTTCTAATTTATATTATGCATCTGGTATCCTAATCAGCCAAAGCATGAAGTTTCTGAAAAAATAAAAAAAATACTATTTTGTTTACAGCAGTGAAATTACGATCAATACGTTATCTTATCGTAATCATATATAAAAATGACGATGTGATTACTACGTAACGTATTTATCTCATAATCAGGTATAAATACCGTATAAAAGGTTAGTTCACCTAAAGATGTTTCTTCATATTTTCCTCTAAACTGGCTTTTTATGCATACTTCCTCTATTTTCTATAAAACACACCATTCATCGTACAGTTTTTTTTCTCCGCAAAGATAGAGGGAGTAAGGAAATTGTACGATTCTTACAAGCGTGTTTCTTTTGCACATATCAGCAAATATTTACTAATGTAACACCTGTTTCCAGGTATCGCTTTAGCACGACTCAACATTTCCGCTGCTTCGACACACAAATTCAGGAAGCTAGGTAAACCTTGAAGTAACCCACCTTCATCCAAATGAACGTTTCATACGCTCATTCATTTTCGTTGGTGTCCTAATACTATCTGCACGACGAGGAATGAAAATAATAATTATTTTTCGATTTACAAACTAACAAAATTTGAAGCCAGGACAAAGTGACCTTTTCTTAAATATTCGACCTTTTAATACGCCATTAGTTGAAAGTTCACCAAACTTTTCACAGACCCCTTCAGACACCTATACACATTTGCTGACTTATTGATAGGCTCTTTTGGGGAGAGGGAAAGTAAATCTTAGAAGTGTAAATTTTAAATATTGAAGAACAATTGACGTTCGAAACTCGATTTATAATTTTTTTTATCTTTTTGAATCTTAATGTTTCCTTCGAATCCTATAATTTCAAATTCGTATATTCTCCCTGCTTTAATGTAACCTTTCAGGGTTTTTTAATTAAATTCCTCTACTATATACAACACACGCCATATATATATGGCTCTCCGGTTTTCAAGCCTCAGGGTACAAATCATTTTCCAATGGGGATACGCGTTATTTTGACACATTCTTATTTCTTAACTGGATTTCTAAGAAGACATTGAAAGAAATTCCAAAGAAATTTTCTCTCAAGAAATCGTACAGTATTGGGAAGTGTTAGAACGTCTTCTTTTCTTCAAATTTGTATACAATAAGACTAGTGGTGCTACTGAATGACACAGGCTTTCTTGTACAAGATAGTTTCATTATCTCCTCAGTCCGGGCTATATATTCGGTTTTAATCGACTAAAACATATTTTGACACATTTATTCAGTTTTTCGGATATCTATCTGTAGGATTAAAATATAACTTTAAGAATATTATAGAAGCATACAATCGGGTTGTTTATTCTCATTTTCACTGAAAACTCTTGAGCAGTTTTTAAGAATATGACGTTTAATAAATTCTGAAAATGCTCATTTTTATGCTAATTTTCACCTAAAACGTTTTGAGTTGTCAAAAAATTTCAAAAAAATTTTAAGAGGTTATTCCCACAAATACAATAGTGCATGCTCGTTCCTTAACTGGATTTCATAGAAGAGATTGAAAGTGCATAAGAAATGCCTATAATGTAAATATTAACGACGTGAGAACCATTTAAAAAACACATTTGTTTATTTTTTGAAAAACAAAACTAAAGAATAAATCTATGTAGCACTGATTTCATGTTATTTTGAGTATTTAGCACTATTTCCACAAAAAGTTAACGAAGGCATTTGGGATCAATTTTCAAGAAATGGGGTTTGAGCGTTTCTGAAAGTGCTCAGTTTGGAGCTAATTTTCGCACAATAGGTTAGATTATTCGAGAAACTTTACAAGACATCATTGAAAGCACTGGTACTCAAAAATGCAATAATGTATACAAATTGACGGTAACGTAAATATTAATGATATGAAAGATGTCAAAAATAATAATTTGAGTTTTTAAAAAAAAAACAACCACAAGAAAATAATATAGAAAAATGGCATTTATGTCAGGTACTACAGTGCATTTAGCACTGATATCGAAATTTCAACGGAAATATACGTTTTGGGGTTCCTTGTTACCAAAAAAGTTTTGTTGTTTTGTTTTTCTTCTTCAAACGCTTTTCTGCCAACGATATATTGTAAAGATTATTCCAGGGCACGCAATGAGTATCATTTGAATTTTAGCTTCTCTTACTTTTCAAACTGACTGTTGGGTGTTTCAGACACAAACACGCATTATATAAGTATGATCTTGGCTGTTCGAGTGACGCCGCGTCGAAGGCTGTGTTGACGACGTTTCGACCATTTTGTCGTGGTCTTCCTCAGGGCTGGTATGAGGAAGACCACGACAAGATGGTCGAAACGTCGGCAACACAGCCTTCGATGCAGTGTTACCCGGACAGCCAAGATCGTGCACATGACTCTGGCCGCGGAAGCCTACAACTTCAAACATTAAATAAGATTATTAACATCTAAATTTTAAAATATTAAATTACATTGTTTGGCAATAATTGAAATAAGATGTACGTTAGGAAACTGTTTCAGTTGAAAAGTTCGAATATACTGAGTAATTATTGAGACTAGTCTGATGTTCATTTACAAAGATTATTGGCAGGAACAGGAAGATGTGTCATCTGAGAAAAATAACAGAAAGCTTCTGAGAAGGATAGTGTTCTGAAAAAAACTATGATGTTCTATCAATGGAAGAACAACTCAGTCATCTAAGAGATCGTACGCGAGTGCCGTAGGGTTAAGAATATATGAGTGTATCATTTTAATAAATCATATGGAATAAGATATTGTAGATACGACCTTCAGGAATTCCTTTGTTCGGCTCCCTGAGTAAGCAGTATTGTAAAATTGCGAAATATTGTAACATTACTTAAATATATTTTTACAACACTATACCTTAGAAAAACCTGTTTTGTTAAAGATATCTGTATTTCCTGTATTTAAAATAACATTTACAATGGGTTTTTCCTGCGTACATATTGCTGGGCGTCACCGTTACGTCAAAGCTTCTGCTGCACCTACGTGTATCCCCCTTTTCGCTGCCATATGGACGGCACTCGCTATCAACCCGATATTTCGGTCCAACCGCGTGAGTCTATCTCGACCTCATTGCCAGTCAACGCCCACCTGTCCTCCCAAAGTGTGACCGCCGTGCCCTCTGGTTTAAAACACCGCTACAAGCCCATGGCAGACTGGTCGCTTACTTTCTCCCCCACCAGTCTTGCGGCACGGCATTGCCGGGCGACTGCGGCAGCAGGTTATCTGTGACGGGGACATACCGGAAGGGCTGGGGAGATAGAGAGGGATGGGCGGAGTGGCGGAACAGAGCGAAGAGGGATGAAACAGGTCGAAAAAAGGCAGAAGTAATATGAACAAGCCATGCAAGAATGAGTCCGGCCCGGGAACACAGGACGGATTTGGCACAAAGGCGAGAGAGATGGCCGGGATGGGTGATCCAGGGCTTCAACTGCTGCAGTGCCTCTGACGGGGAGGTCCTAGGTTCGAGTCCCGACGGTGGCAGGATTTTCGACGCTGCCTAGATAGCTAGGTCGAGCTTTGTCCTGGAGAAGAAATATATCGGCCGGCTTCTCTGATCGGTAGTTTTTCGTGGTTTCTCCAATCAATAACAGGCGAATGCCGGAGAAGTACCCTAACAAACGGGACAAATACCGCGAGCGATTTTTCCTTCCCATTCCTTGTCCTCCCATTCCTTACATACACTACACTACCACGCATGCCGGGAGACCGGTCGGGAGCTCAGAGCGTGTCCCGGCAGCGGTGGTGCCCCGCTTGCGAGAGATATCTGGTTGGGGAAAACCTCTCTAGCCGACGGTAGGTCCGCGCCGGATCTCACCATCCTGCAGGGGAAGATAACCGATACCTTCCTAGAAAAAACATGCACTACACTAAAAGGACTAATGACCTTAGCAGGTGACGATCTCGGCACCAGCAAAGCAATAAAAAAATAAAAAGGGGTGAAATGCGATGAGGAGCCTGAGCAGCGAGGGAGAGTGGTGCGGGGGAGGGAGGAGAGCGGGGCAGAGCGAGGCCGGTGGCGCGTCCTCGTCGATGGAGTGCGCGCCGATAAGCGGCTGACGCACGCGGCGCGGCGTGGCGTCTCACGTGACGTGGCGTCGTGACGTTGTGCAACAGGTGACCACGAGAAGATCGCTGCCCGAACGCCTGGCGCCGTTTCGGCGATGGTCCAAAACCATTCATGTTTTTAAAAAAGGTTTATGTCATCCTTTTTGATGATTTTGTACGTGGTTATATCGTTGAACTGCATTTTCAACCTTGTCTGCATAGAATATTGTTTAAAATTAAGGTGGCAGTGTGATTTAAGGCCAAATGTACTTGAAACTAATATTTACAAATTTTGTGTACTATATATAGCATGTTTTACTTCTACAATTTATGAATGAAAATCCAGAAATGGTATAATAGTAAGCAAAACACGATGTCCTTCGATTTCCTTCTTTAAACATTAATATTAAAATATTTCTTATACCAAACAAACAAATATACCGGTATTTCGTTTACGAACTTTAATTAAAAATAGAAAGATGGGAAAATACCATCTGTTTTTTTAATCATATTGGAATCATCGATGTATTCATCGATTTCGAAAATCCTTTTCAATGATCGTTGTGATAAAATTTGTCATGACTAGAGAAGACACGAATAGCGCCAGCAATTAGTTTCATGATGATTACAAATAAGTGAAACTAAATACAATTGGTTGTAATATTTATTCAAAT